CCATCATGCTGAGCTGGCCGTCCAGGAGGCAGCACTTTCACACTCTCAGAGGCCGACAAACGGGGCCCTGAATTCTCGAAATAGCTAGTTGCAAGCAAGAGTTAGACAACTGTCAAGGGTAGGCTGGGTTTTTCTCTCTTCAGTCACTGATGTCAGCATCTTGCCGGACTGCAATTCCACAAGTCAAAGTGGTGCTGATTCTTGTGACTTGCTAGTCTTAGCACTTAATGACAGTTTGTCGCTGGAGCCGAAGCATGACCAAATGGGCCGCCGGCATTCAAACCTGTGACTGTAGCTTGCACAAATTGGCTCATACAAATATAAGCTATGACTGCCTGACTCCAAACCCAGCCCTTCTTTTAATAAAGATCCCAGAGCTGAGATAGCAGACATGGAACACTGCAACTTTGGACGCAGCCTGCCAGCAGCCTGATGGAGGCATGCGTTTTGCATATCGATTTGCATGTTAACATGCAGGAGGTCTAGACTAGCTATAAGCCCCAATGGCCATGACTTATCCTGGGGGTAACTGCGCTTGCAGTGGATGGTGCTGTTTAAGGGAAATCAGAGATGAGCCATGTGGCTTTCCTCTTTGGGTCCTCCTTCCTGAGCAAGGTGATTTGTGGGGAGCACACAACTATTTCCGTCAGGGAAGCCAGCAGATCCAGCTGTGACACTTCCGTGGGGCGGGCCAACTGTACGAAAAGGTGTCACTTTCACACAGTTGTGTTTCACAGTAGAACTGCACCATCTGCTCTAACACCACAAACCTCACCTTTTAATGACTGTGAGAAAAAAGACCTGGCTCTTATAATGCGCTTTCTATCCACAGAGCTCCAAGCTTTTGATAAAGAAGGTCTGTTTCATTATAGCCATTATACACGTGGGGAAACAGAGGCCTCTAGAGGTGAAGTGACTTGCCAAGGTTACCCCAATTCTGCTGCCACTCTGGTGGTAGAGAACACAAGGCCACTGGGTGCCAGTTCAGTGTTTTATGCACCAGACCACCTGTCTCCGATCTGATTTCCCTACCTCATTTTGTAATCTCTGTTTCAATGAGCTGATTTATGCATCATGATCAAATGCCCTAAGGTGGCATTAGCTGAAAACATGCTATCCAGGCCAAATGGCCAATCTTACCTTTAAGACAATGGTGCCACCCACTGAGACCACAGCACATGATTCTCCTTCCTCTGAGTGACCGCAACATTTGTAGAGGATCACAGAGTCATAGACAAGTAGGGCTGGAAGGGACCTGCAGAAGTCATCTAGTCTAACCCCCTGCCTGAAGCAAGATCATCCCTAACAAAAGGTTGGTAATATGTGCTTAGAAGATCCCAGGTAGAGGGCCACCCCCCTGTCACAGAGGAAGGCAAAAACCCGCACAGTCTGCATCAATCTGAGCATGGGGTAAAGTTCCATCCTGACCCCAAATATGGCAATCGGTCTGACTCTGAATGGATGGGCAAGAGCCGCTAGCCAGTAATTTCTGGCTTTAAGTCCCATCAGAAGCACTGGCACATCCCATTCAAAATCCCCAGCCTTGGCTGCAGCCAACACCCGCTGAGACTGCTGTATTTCTTGGCAGCGTGCACTTTAAGCAACACCCTTGCAAAATGGCTCCTCTTCTGGCATACATGAAACAGACCCCTGTGTGAGAGACCTTTCCAATCATCTTCTCATATGTTGCAAGCAAGCCTCTTTGTTGCAATTTGCTTTCCCCCATGATACATCCACATGCTTTAGGATGGATGCACTTGAAGCAAGATCCACTTTTGTTCTCTCACTCCTGGGTGACACTTTCATGTACGATGCACAGTTTTCCTTTAGCCCTGCAAACGCTCCTTCTTCCTTCCAAAGCCAGCTGCTTCTCACAATAACCTTTCTTTGTCTTCATTGCCAGTTAAACTGGTTCCTTTTCCTACTAACTGCCCCATTATCTGTTCAGTCTCACAACTGAGCTTTATTTCATAGGCTTGTGATGGGCAGGGTCAGGTTCTTATGCGGCATCTGTGGCATCTCCTTTCTTGTCGAGAACATGGCACCTTTCCTGAAGGCTGTACATCGGGGTCTTTCCAGGCTCTCCAAGGGCTTAGCCTTGCAGTTTGCACTGTACTTTCTACCCAAAGCTCTACAGCTCTGCAGGGACTCCAGACTCCCTAGGTGTTACTCTGGAAAATGTCATCCCCTCCAATTTCCAGTGTTGCCAACTGGCATGGTTTTTTATCCCAGCTTTTTATGATACTTGGTGTTTTTCTTAAAGCTGTCCCTGGAGCCAGCTGGTTACATGAAAATCTCAGCTCTCATAAGAGGGAAAAGGCAGTTTGCAGTTCTTGATGGTGGGTGAAAATGTTTAGAATAATTGATTCTGAAAACTGAAAAGCTGGAAGTTAAGTAAGCAGGACCCACTACCTGTTTTTTTAAATCACAAGATTGTTACGTTGATCTCCTGATCTGTGGCCCTGACATGATTTGTGAACATGTGGGGTTGGTAATACTGGTTTTCTCTTCTATTCCACTTTGGGAGGGCTGCAACCACCTGCTCTGGTTTTCTGCCAGGTCCCATTGACAGAGGTTTCCTCTTTGCCTGAGAATTGGATTATTTCTGACGCTACATCGCAGCAGCATAGCCACAGAATGGCAGAATGGTTTTGCCTTCCTGTCTCCAGTGACATGACGTGGGGTGTTACAAGGCAGAACCAACGCATGCTACTCACTGTTACAACCTTTGGTTTGGGAAGGTTTCAGTACCCCTGGCTTCTGTCCCTCCTCTCTAGCTGGTTCCTTTCTACAGCAAGGGTGGCTAAAGAAACAGGGGCTCTGACCGGATGAGATCGTGATTGCAGTCTGCAAAAGCTGAAGCCTCAACACAAGCAAGTTGTTTCTCTAACTTGCTGACTTCACCATCCAGCTTAGACTGTGATCAGCGAAGCTGGTATCCACCCAAGGGCATTTCAGCCGGGCATGCTGTCACCGTCTGCCTCTCTGCCCTCAGGGCTTCTCTAGTGCTGAGGTCACCCTTGCTTTGTTTTCTACACTGCAGGCTAGCTTCTGTGGGGCACAGAAGGCACAGCCCAGAGGAAAGGGTGGCTTTAAACTACGCTTTGTGTTACCTGAAGGCTGGGTTGATGCAGGGGCTGTAGCTACCCCCAGCAAAAATCCCAGCAGCCTTTCCTGCCTGCCTGTAGCCTGCACCACAGCCCAGAATCTCTGAAGTGCAAGGATTACTACTGTTCCCCACTTCTGAGCTTGGCTGATATCAGCCTGCAAAGACCATATACTATTCAAGAAGCTGCAAGGCTGACCATGCACCATGGCTAGAGGCTCAGAGAGCTGCTACTGGCCAACTAAACCATGCCACAGATGTAATCCAGTCCAAATCAGCAGGGAATGAAAATTGCTCCCCTGCAATCCCCTGCGTTCAGAAGCCTTTATGGTGATTTCACTGTGCAAATGTCCTAAGCACAGTTCCCCCCCAACATGGGAGTATCTGGAAAGGAACCAAGGGCTGGAAAAGCCAGGAAGGGGGAATTCTGCTGTCTCCCCTACAGATGGCTCCACAGGGCAGTGCAAGGCTGAGACACCAGCGCGTGGACGCATGAAGAAAGCCTGGAATTGCCACAGCATCTGCTGTGCGATTGGGAAGGTCTCCAGCCCCAGGGAAGCGACTCTAGAAGCAACAGCACATTCCTGTCAAATGATGCACAATGAAGAAACATGGCAGTACATTTCTCCTCCCTCATCCAGAGTTCCTTGGGAGAAACAGGAAACTTTCCCCTGATTTCAAAGGGCTGTAGATCAGATTGGCTACGAACTAGCCCATGGAAATCCGTTCAGGAGAGAGAGAGAAATGTTGCCACACAATGATGATACACCCCCAGGGATTTTATGCGTCTTCCCTAGAGCAGCAATTCCCAAACTCTGACAGATTGCGCAGCATCAAATTAAAATGATACAACCTTAGTACCACCAGCAAATTTTTGTCACATAAAGTAATTATAATAAATCTGTTAATGCGTGCCACTGACAGGTTGTCTGCTTACCACTGGTGGTACCTGCACCACCAACTGGGAACCGCTGCCCACCACTGAAGCACATACCGCACAGGACAGCTCCTGCTCCTCCTCCACAAAACTCAGGAGGCCTCTGGTGTGGGCAAGGAAATTACAGAAAATGGAAAATGAGGAGGGAAAAAAAGAGGCAAAGAAGTTCTAAGCAGACTCTTGTTCAACTGTGCTCGGGTAGACTGAGTGCTTCATTCTGCTTCAAATGAAAGAAAGAAGAGGGAACATCTAAGTCAGTGGGAAGACGCCAACACACTTCATCTCTGCCCCTGAGTACAGGAGCCTGGAATAATCGTTCAGCTACATTACACAATTCCACAGTAGTGTAAAGCCACCACATGCTGGGGCCCTCACCTAGGAACTGAATCCTGGCACGGTTTTCAGCATCTCTTCTAAGTACCGATCTAGAGACAGAGCAGTGTCCCAGGAAGCCTAGTCACCTGCTTGCTCTGGGACTGGGAACTAAGGCTGGAAAGGAGCCCTGATTTTGTGCCTTCTCTCCATCAGTTTAATCCCAAAGGTCAATCCATTGACTGCAGTGGAGTCATAAAAAAATTCAGGGACTGGAGAAGAAAAGGAGCTCTTTGGTTTCCTGTTACAGCAGTATTGCGTAGTGTTTTTTCATTTAGTGCAATTCTGTTCTGATTTCTCTGGTCTCACCTTCCTGGGAAGCAGTGAAAACAGATGCTCATGCACATACACACTGGACATGCATAAGCATATGCATACCACACATACACACTTCCACCTATCTATCAAGCACTTCCCACCTCAAAACATGTTGTTTCATTAAGTAGGAACACACAGCAGCCAGCCCATGGGAGCGAGGATGGCACAAACAGCATGTTGTTATCAGTGAGACTTGGCTTCCAGGTAGGAGTAAGATGCTGAGCTCCCTTGTGCAACATGCCAGTTAATTAATGGATCAGAACAAACCTGGGCTGTATCAGGAGCCACATGAAGGGTGGAGCAAAGGAAAAGCTGGGGTGAGAGACACCTGTCCCTAGAGTCAGCTTGCAGTGGGAGCTTGGAAACTGGCAGCCCCATCTTCTGCAAGAAGAGCAGAAGGCAGGGGTTAGCACTGCTGCGACCTGCACCTTGGGAACAAACCCCTCCTCAGCTTGCACAAGCCCTGCATGAGAGGTCGATGGGGACCAGGATGTTTGCAGACTCCAGGGATGCTGGCTGAGCTGGGAACTTGCACCCTGGGGCAGCCCTGCCTTTTGCTGTTGACAGCGCAAACCTGTTTGCTTTCATTGCTCCTTTCTCTGCAGGTGCAGAGACAACTCACAGAAACTGCAGCTTGATGCAGCTGGCCCCAGGGGGATGTGGTTTCTCCCTGGTATCACCAACCCTTTCCTAAGTATCACTTGGTGTCCGTAAGCATCAGCAAGTTCGTACCTGGAGGAGCCTGCAAAGGGCTGGAACAACCTGGATTCTTGTGTGGGAAAGTGGGCTGGCTAGGCAGGCGGGCTGGGATGCTTCTTCTCCACCTCAGTGTCAAGGTTATGACCTAAACTCTGAGTGACTGCAATGCCCCTCACGGAAAGAGGAATCCCAGCCTGGGGAGGAAGTTGAAATGAAGCCTGGAGACCACAGTGCACAACAGAGACAGTGCATTTGACACCCACGTCATCCACAGACCCACAGATGTGCCAGTGCAGCATCACCCCTCATTCACAGATGAGCTCCAGACAAGTTCAGAAATCAGCCAATTAGCGTGTCTGACCGTGTGCCCCAACTCATACTTGCTCTACCTGGCGCCTTATAGCCTAATGTGCTGAGCACCTAGTCCCAGCTGAAGTCAATGGGAGGTCTTGGAGCTCAGCGTTCCCTGGCAATCAGGCCCAACAGATCTCAGCAGTCTCTTTTGAAGATGATATGGCCTAAGTGACTTGCCACTCCCAGAGCTGGCCCCTCCAGGGGCTGGGGTTCGTGGGCCAGGGTTGCTCAGCAGGGAGATGCTGCTGGCCAGAGTGGTAGGTTCAGAGGGGAAGGCCCTGTGGGGCCTTTCTGCCTGTCTTGTCTGACCCCCTGCACAGCACACACCGAAGGGCTGCACATCCAGCCATTCCCACACAGGGCCCGACGACTGGCGGCACTTTCAGTATGACGCCCCGTTTTACTGAAAGGCTGCGAGTGACACACATCCCACCACATCCCCTCAGCAGCTTTTCCAGCGGTGAACTCCTCTTCCTGTACTCCACACGCATCTTCTGTCCAGTTTGAATTGAGTGCTCTAAACCTGGCCATTAGCTCTTGCTTTGCCTCTAGGGCAGCAGCTCCTCCGACGGGAAGTGCTACGAGCATGGCTGGCCCCAGTCTCCACATGGTTGGTGGTATTCACATGTGCCCTTGAAGCCAGCCAGCCCGACCTGTATTTTCCATGACGTGCTCTTCACTGCAGCTCAAAATAAAAGGCAGGTCTTTCTCTCACACTGAACACAAGCACTAGCTTTGAGCAGACTCCATAGAGCAAACTTATTTTAGAGTCATTGCCTTGCAATGAAGTGTTATGGCAAGAGGGATCTGAGCCCCATCTGGTGGGTCTTGCCCAAACAAAATAAAGAGGGATGCTCAGGATCAGGGAGCACTGGCAGAGCGCCCGGGGAGCCCAAAGCTGGCATTGCTAAGAGAGGAGGGGGACTGAGGAACACCAGAAGAACAATGTGTTGGGGAATCCATGGCTGGAGAAGCAAGGTGGGGGTTGTGGGTCAGGACTTAGGGGCACTGGCAGAGCTGTGTGAGAAAGCCTGTGCGGCACCTGCCCATGTTATGCTTGGCTCTGGCCTGCACAATCAGTCAATGATCCCGACTCAGAAGTGAAGGACGAACACCTGATAAAACCTCTTGGGAAGCTGCAAGGGTCCCTGGTTGCGCCATAGGGAAGAACTTTGTAGGCTCAGGTCACCACTAGGTTAGCTGGTGGAGAAGATGGCTTACTGCAGGAGTGTGGACCGGAGAAGGAATACATATTTGTCTTTAGAGCCATTGGTACAATTGTTATTTTCAAACGGGAAGCTGGTCAGTCTCATGCTGCAGCATTGCTGATGTCTCCAGGGTCAAACTAAGCCACATCCCTGCCACAAAAAGGGAACTGAGGCGCCTGTCTGAGACAACTGCCGGCCCTTCCACCCCCACCACTGCTTTTTGTCACAAGCAATGCTTCCCCTTCCCTCCCAGGACAAAAGGAGCAGGAGGCGCATCCTTTGTTCTTTCATTGGGCTAAATCATTCCCACATAGCTCCTGTACTTGGTCCCAAAAGATGAGCTCAGATAGGGCAAGTGAGCAAGGAAAGCAAACCCAGACTTCTTCCCTTGCAGCAGAGCTGAGGAGAGAGGGACACCAAAGGCTCTGTAATGCCAAAGCCCAGACTACTACTCTGCCCACTTTCCCATCCTCCCTGACGCTGCAGGCACTGAGCAGCCAGCTAGGCTACCTATACAAGTGCTGGGAGGTGGTGTGGGGGGGTTCATTAGAGCAGTTCCTGGACAGCCACTCTAATTAAAATGGCTCACCATTACATGTATTAAGCCCTCCCACATTTCAAAATGACCACAGGGGCACTTTAACTAAAGCTCATTTGACCATCTTTAGCTAAAGCACCCCCATGGCCATTTTGAAATGCAGGGGGTTTGATACATGTGACACTGAGGTGACGATGGAGCATTCTAATTAGAATGCTAACGAGCATGTCTATAGGCACCCCTAATTCCACATCATCCTGAGTGACACTCCAGACAGAAGCCTTCTCAGTGCTTTCCCTTTGTGGTCCAGGAGGTCAAACAGGATATGCATTGTGCTGGGGCCTGAGAAACAGCGTGAGACTGACAACACCCCAAGCAAAACTCCCTGAACACAGCCCAGAGCAGCTTCCCTCTTCCAGCTGAAAGAAATCCACAGACTGAACTCACAAGAGCAGGACAGACGCTGCACAGAAGCACACTAAAGTGGTCACAGCCTTTCAATGGTAATGATCCCATCTGCTGTTACTAACACAGGCAGGACAATATCTAGGCCCAAATTGGGCAACTTGGGTGCCAAATCTGGCCAACCTTGTTGCCTAAAACTGGGCACTGAAATCAGGGTGTGGTTTCCAGTTTCTAAGACAGGCGAGTGCTCAGTGCCTCTGAAAATCCAGCCACTCAGAGTCCAACCCTGCCAACAGATTCACACTGACAAGGCATTTGCCTTATACTGAATTTTCAGAGATGCTGCACATTGCTGATGGACTCTGATGACAGTCAGAGTGTCCTGTAGATGCACTGCCCCAGGAGCAAGACAGGAACCAGATGGTGACTCTGGGTCTCAGCCTATGTCCTGCTTCCTTTTTCCTCCAGGGACTGCCCCAGACATCCCTGCTCACTTCCCCTCTGTGAGCTCCCCTGTGCTGGGAGGAGGCAGAGTCAAGGCACTTTTTGTGCCCAGCAGGAGGAGGTAGCTGTTTTCTCTCTTGTCCCTGCTCTTGCATGCATGTAGGCCATGCAGAAAAGTCCCGGAGCTCCTTTCACCTTACTGCTCTGGACATGCCATGGAGCACAGAGCATGCCAGGGATCCTCAGAGCCTCCAAACACAAGGCCACCTTGATTTAAGCACCAGGCCTTCACTGGTGATCAGTTTGGACTGAGGCCCTGTTGCCTGGAGCTCAGCCCTCCAAATCCCAACACTCAGCACTTGCTAGAACTGAGCATCCCACCCCACCCCACCTTTCAGGGCTCAAACACAATGCTGGGGACGGACCCACATGCATTAAATGACTTGTCTGTTTGACATTGTCAAGAGCTCATGTTCTGCCTCTCCTGGGTAAAAGTGACCTCACCTCCATGCTGCTGTTGAAAGCAGAGGGCAAACCCCTAAGGTTACAATCTTATGTGACACAGAAAGGACTGGGCCAACCATGTGTTTCACTGCTGACTGCTCAGGATCTCAACCAGAGGCTGTGCAGATTTTCGGTTTACAAAGTGTGCGCGCAAAATTATTTCCATGGTTATTTTTCTTCAGGGTTCCACATACATTTCTCTGTTTTCCCTTCTGTAGCAGAGTGACAGAGAATCACAGAATAGTCTTAGTACCCACGCTGGATGGCACAAAGGCTGTAGAAGGACGGAGCTGGAAAAAATACTCAAAAGTAATCAAAAGTATTGGGTTGGAATTTTTCCCAGGTTCAGTAAAGACCTTCGTTTTGGGGAATGGAGTGACCTGAGACTTGTATCAGATACAGGCTTCAAAAGGAGAGGGTGGTGGGGAGGGAAAGTAGTGGGAAACGGTAGGGAAAACAGCAGCATTTGTGCAGGTTGTTGGTGAAATCTCTGGACCATGCTCTGATTATTAGAGGGACTGTTTGGTTTATGCATGGGGCACTTTTCTTTTGTCCGTACCAAAGGAGCAGAGGTCAGCTAGATAAAGGGAGAATGTCTCTGCTACATGAGGTACCAAGGAGCCAGCAGGTTCATTACTTTCTGCCCCTTGCTCTTCTCAATACACATGCTTTAGCTGCAAACCCAGTGATTGCAAATGATCAGTTTTGTGGGAGTGATTGACTCTTTCTCCTTATTTACCTTCTTCTTAAGATGCTTCCCCACGGGCCCCAGCCTCCTCCCCACGCACTGGGAGCTGGTCCCATGGTGAGAACGTTATTTACTAACAAAACAGAAGCACACTTGCCAATTTGTCCTGACAAGAGGACTGTTGGTTTGCCCATTTAAACAGCTGTCTGGAAAGCTAGTAAAACCAGCTGCCTGTTTGTAAATGGATGGAGGGGCTGACAGGGTTGGGACAATGCGGAAACAAACAGCTCAGATTCAAAGGTTGTACTTAGACATTTTAGACTGACTTTCATTGTTCTGCAGCAGGAGGAGAAGGTACTACAGACGGAAATTATTCTGGTTTCCAGACTGGGATTATTTAGGGGAGGGGGAGAAGAGGATTTGATAACAGTTTTCCAACACCCAAAGGTACATGGAAGACGGAAATAGACTATTCTGTATGGCCTCAGGGGACAGGGCAAAGAACAATGTTCTTAAATGGCAGGGCGGAAAATTTGGGTTG